CGAAAGAGTAGTGAAGCAAATTAGTTTGTTGAAGATTGAGTCCTATACTCTCTGAAGGAATAGGGAGCGGACAAGTTCGTTGAAGATTGAGTCCTATGCTCTCTGAATGAATAGGGAGCGGACAAGTTCGTTGAAGATTGAGTCCTATACTCTCTGAAAGAATAGGGAGCGGACAAGTTTGTTGAAGATTGAGTCCTATACTCTCTGAAGGAATAGGGAGCGGACAAGTTCGTTGAAGATTGAGTCCTATACTCTCTGAATGAATAGGGAGCGGACAAGTTCGTTGAAGATTGAGTCCTATACTCTCTGAAGGAATAGGGAGCGGACAAGTTCGTTGAAGATTGTTCGAGTTCTATACTCTCTGAAGGAATAGAGAGCGGACCCGTTTTATGAAGATTGCTCGAGTTCTATACTCTCTGAAGGAATAGGGAGCGAACATGTTTGTTAAAGATTGAGTCCTATACTCTCTGAAGGAGTAGAAAGCGGACCTGTTTTATTGAAGATTGTTCAAGTCTTATACTCTCTGAATGAATAGAGAGCAGACACATTTTATGAAGATTGTTCGAGTCTTATACTTCCTGAAGGAATAGGGAACAGACTCGTCATTAGATTTTTCAAGTCTCACTTATCCCAACGTAATATTGAGTGGTTTAATCTTTTGAAGTTCTCATGACCGGACAAATTCGATCATCTTTTGATCTTTGTTCTATTCTCGTTACACGATAATGAGCAAAGAGGGGCAGCTGTAGATGCTCATTTCTGTCCGGGGCCAAGTTGGAGCAGACCCGAAGCAATGAGAGTCCAGATGAGCCCAAACCAGATGAAGGTCCAGCTCAAGACCAATTGACAACAGTTTGATACAGAAAAAGAAAGAGATCCAGGTTGGTTTTTAGCAGTTGGAATAATTAGATAGTGGGGAATTAAAAAACTGTAAATGGTCAGTTTTGAGGGGGTTTAACTACTAGAAACTATGAACCATAGAAGGAGAAAAAAGGGAAGAAAAAAAGGGGGAGGGCTCCTTCGTTTTCTCTTGACAGAAAGTAGATAGCAGAACGAAAAAACAGTGTAAGGAAAATTTGATTTTCCGAAAAGCAATAGAAACAAGTTTTGTTTTATGTTATTCTCCCAACCGAAGGAAAGTTCACAAAGGGCAGTATCATATTCTCAAGCCAAAAACAACACCAAATACAGGATACAATTCAACAACGAAAGCAACATATAGCATCAAAAGGGTATTCGTTTTCAATTTCCATTTTTCATTGCTTTCATAATGTTCTTGTGTGTGTCTATGTTTCAAATCAGAACCGAAACAGAAATATAAAGGAATAATGGTATGTTTACTTTAGAATTTAATGTCATTTCCCATACCATGATTGTGTCCTTAGGATAGAAATTTGTTAGCTTAGTATCTTTGCTTCGATTTAGGAGAGTTCTTTTTTTTTTTTAAAAATAAACAAGCATTTTACGGTTAAAAATTGAACTTGTTTGTAGAATTAAAAAACGTAATGAAATTTACCTTTCTATGCATCGGTTTCCTTATTGATCGATAGAAAGCATGAGAGGTTTAGTTTTACTTTACCTAGTTCTACTTTGAGTCTTCGCCGAGTGTAAGGGGAGCCGAGAGTGGGGGTTAGCCTCGCCAAAACTTTAGAATCATTAGGTTGGCAGCGTCTGTTTTCCGAGGTTTACATCGAAGCAAACAAAAGAGAAGGGTTAGAAGAGCATCAAATATTTAGTTGTGTATAGGTTAGGATTAGGAACTTACCAGGTTGAATTTTGTGTTGGTTCGGAGTGGGGAGTGGCCACCAAGAAATGGTGGCTTGTCGGAGTTGGTCTGGCGTGAGGAATCTTGTTTTGTCCGTAAGCCTTGGAAGAGTTTAGATGGGAGAATTTTGGGTTTTCCCTCGGTCTCGCATGTGTTGAACGGAGAGGAGAGAACCATCTTGAACGGTGGCGGATTTCATTAGGCGATTGTGTAGGGCTTTGGGACGAGAGGCGGTCGAGGAAAAATTAAAGGGAGAGCTGCGGCCGTGGAGATGAAAGATGAGAAGCAGCTACCTTTTGTTTAAACTTAGGTTTGGAATACATATTAAATATTTTGGGTGAATTAGGGTCTAGCCATTGTAACTTTAGGTGTAAACTATCTTTAGATCCTAAGTTTAACGTTTTTATAATTTAGTCACCTTTAAGGCTTGATTTTTGATTTTTTTTATATGTCTTAACTTAGTTATTTTCTAGTTTTTGTTTTAGTTACTATTTTGAATTATTTAAGTTTAAGTTCCTTATATTTATATTTGTTTTATTTAAGTCTCTGTATTGATTTTTTTAGTCAGCATGTTTAATTTTACGTGTGTCTAAATTTAGTCATTACTTTCACATGTATATACATACCCTTTTAATTTATGGTTTAGCATGTTATGATTTTGTTTTTATATTTAGGTTACATGTGTTCATAATATGTTAATATGCATGGTTTATGATTTTTTTTTTAAATATGTGTACATTTTTGTATGTATGTTACGTTGTATGATATTTTAATATTTTTTTTAATTAATTTTGGCATGACATCATTTTTGCATAATTTGCATGATAGCTTTATTTTCATAACTCGACATCTTCATAATTGGATTAAGGGTAATATACTTTTAATTTAAAATTATTTTAAGTGGGCAGTCATAACTGATTTGAGGTCTGCTTTTAATGATTTTAAAATAAAAGTGTATCCCGAAAGTGAAACAAAAAAATTGATTCGTCACCTAAAATTTGGGAACGAGAGAAAAAGAAATGTTCGTTTATTTAAATATATCGAGAAAAGGTTGTTATATCTTTAAGATCTGGTCTCGATATTTGTAAATAATCGAACATTCTTTATCTTTCTAAAACGACTCGGTAATTTTAATTTAATTTATTTGAGTGCTTTTGAATGTTTTTAAATTTACATCATTGTTTTATGGGATCAAAAATTAAATTAAATTTGAATTTGTAAAGTTCATTGCAAAGACGTTAATTAATCGGCTAGGTACCGATTTAGGGCGTTGTGGGGGTGCTAATCCTTCCCCGCACGTAACCGACTCCCGAACTCGGATTTTGGTAACGCAGACTTTAATTTGTTGTTTTAATTAAAATTAAATTTTATCTAAAATAACAAGCATTTTTGGGTGCCCAATCACACCCTAATCAAAGATTGGTGGCGACTCTTTGAACTGTATTTTTTTTTCGATCATAAAGGAAATCCAAAATTTTTCGAAACGAGAGGTTTTCAAATCACATTTGTTTTTAAATTAAAAATCAATTGAAAGAGGTAAATTAAAAATTAATGTGGCTTTTAAATCTCACCTTTTTTCGCCCTTCAAGAAAAAATCGTTTCGACAAAGAGTATTGTGGTCTTTTCTAAGAGAAGATTTTTTTTATTCTCTTTTTAAGGGATATAAAAACGTGGGAAATGAGGAAATGTATCCAGTCTTCTTTTTCAGCTTCTTCTTCTCCCCGTAAGCCTCAGTTAAATGTGAGTTTAATTTCAGCTGTTTAATTCTTGGATTTATAAGTTGATTTTGTTTCTTTGAGTATTATATAAGCTTAAAGAAAGCTTATATAAGCTTTAAACATCAAGAATAGAGAATTAAAAAGGAAATTATTTGAAGGGTGTAGAAATGAACTTTGTTATAGAAAGGTTTTTGAAGTTCTAAAGATGGATTTGACTGGCCAAAGGGTTAATTAAGAAGTTAAAAGTGATAGAATTGAATTTAGAACACATGAAAAATTTGATGAAATTCTTTGATTCAAGAATTATGGTGAATTATGAGAGATGGTGAAGAGTTATAGTGTTATAAGAAGGTTTACATATGTATAGATAAGTTTTAAGGCATAAGGAGGGGGTTGATAAGTAGAATTGGAAGGCAAAGTAAGACAATTCGTGCTCAAAATGGAATTTATGGGTTATGTGCATCGATGCATCTTCAATGTGTATCGATGCACTCTCAATTAAAGAAGCATCGAATGTAATTCGTGCATCGATGCATCCCCTTAAAATGGAAACATCGAATATAATTTGTATACCGATGCATGGGCAGTGCATCGATGCACATGTTAAGGGATGCATCGATACATTGTAGAATGTACCGATGCACTGCAATAGAAATGGAATAAATCTTTCTTTCAGTCTAAGAAATTAAAATTACAACAAAATTTAAAATTGTTATCATATCGACAAAATGCCTCAAGATATGATTCTCATCTAAACGTAGCAAATCGCCTTCCATTTTATAACTGTGAAAAGTAATAAAAAAAATTAGTATAATAAATTTAATAAAATAATAAATTATTGATTAATTATAATACAATAAAATATTTTACATTTTTAATAAAAAGATTAATACTCGGAAGAATGAGAGAATATGAGATTTAAGTGTGGTTTGAGTATAGTTTGGAGGTTGTGTTTAGGTGTGATATTTATAGGAAGAGGGGAGGGGAGAAACGGGCTCCCAAAAATGTGGGAGGCGGACGATTGGGGTATTAAAGAAAAGTTACTGATCATTATTTGCGCCTTCCATACGTGTCAAAACCCCGCGAAGGCGTTACGCCAACGCATACAAAACCCCGCGTAGACGCGAATGATGATCTGCGCCTTTCCTTACGTGATGCCAACTCAAATAGAACCCCTCGAAGGCGATCCGCACTTTATTATCACCGTGTCAAAAAAAATGTTAGATCGATAATATTTGAGGTGAGAATGTCAGTCAGGTAATTATTAGTGATACGGATGACATTTCAATAAAAACACCTCAAATATTCATATAATTAATTTTTTTATATATAAATTCGTGTCCCAACATTTCATTCATGCCTTATTATATCATAACTATAATGATCCATTCGTAAATGTCCATCGTAAATTAATGAAAGAAATGACGATTAAACCTATTCAAATATGGAATTGTAAAACAGACTACCATCCGATCAACCATTGCTGAGTTAAGAAGGGTAAAAGTGGTGACTATTCTGCAGTATAAGTTACATCAGCAATCAGGCAACTCACTATCTGTGTTATCAAAACTAGAGGCTGGGATATCAAAACCAAGGGATCATTCCACAATCCTATACATCAGTAACTCACCATTAAAACATACAGCTACGAGGGTTAGTCGAACTGTACATATACGCCTTTCTAACCACACAACACTAATCCGACTCCATACATGAAAAATAGCTTCGGAATGGCTATCAAACAGCCATATTCACACAAGCTGAGGCTCCAGGCGTTCTTTGTTAGCATTTACTGTCTTCACTGTTCTTCCAAACTTTTCAACTGTATAAATTAAGATTGATCCGTTTCTCTTTGTTGTTTTCAGATGGATAAAGGTGGGAAATCCTCTTCGTTCTTTAAATGGAATGATTGTACAAGTATCCTGCACGTTATAAAAGGCCGAGCTTTTATCCATGCGGTGTATAAATTTCTGACAAAAAAATAATAAATTCTCAAACCTGTCTTGGTCCATGCTTGCAGCAGATTTTAGCCTTCGATTTCCTAATTGTAGCTGACTGGCACTTGAGTTTTGAGCATTAGGAGAACCACGATTATGCGACTTGCTACTTTCTGTGGAGGCTCGCACCAAAGGTAAAGCCCCAATTGACCCAAATTCTACAAACCTATCTGGTCGATGCAATGAGCCATTGGCATTATGGGTTAATGCTTTTTCAGAAGCAGAATGTCGGAGTTCAGACGACACAGATTTTCCAGCACCTTGATTCACTGTCTGTATTTGTGCCACGTCACAGCTCCTCTGTGGTGAATTTGGCTCTGGGGGGTGTGATGGCCTGGCCATTGTTGCGAGGTGATCTTGCCAGAGCTGGGTTTCTTCCCCTGGGTGTCGAGGGCCTATCATTGTAATAAGTCTGCAAAATGATTTAAGCATATAAAACAAAACTGAGATAGCAAGGCTCAACCAGAACAGTTAACAAATAATAATAATAATAATAATAAACCAACAGCAGCAAAACGACACCATGATGCTGCAAGTTTGCACCAGACTAAATTTCCTGATCTTAGCACAAATTTTAGAAGCTCAATCCAAAGGAGCAGAATGAGTATACCGTGCTGGGATTGGGGAAGTATGTCCCTGTTCCTCGAGGTTTTGGCATTTCTTCCATTCCAAAGCTGGAACCAGGTAAAACTGGTGGGTTCATGGGATAGGCTTGTTGTGGGACAACACTGTTGGCATTCATTGGGGAAATTGCATTTCGCCTAAATTGCACTGACTTGCGTACTACATCCCATGAGTTCTTCCTCTGAAGCTTAGAAATCAAAGGTGAAGAAATTGAAGGAACGGATGCACTTAGGGAACAATCATAGCACCACTGGCCAGAACTCAAACTGCGAATGTTTGCATCGTAATCCCCAGAAAGATCAGACAATGAGCTCAAAACTTCCTGACTTCCGACACTACTGCGGAAAGCTGGATAACCAGAATGCCCAGGATATAGATCCTCAGATGACCAAGCAAGATTTGAAATCAATGGATGGTTTTTCCGGCCAAAAGGAGACTGAACCCCTAGACTAGATGACAACTGATTCACGCTGTGATCACTATGTACATTTGCACCCATCTCCTCACTGCCCGCTGGAAGAATAGCACAACTTGCATTTTTTTCAGTAGAGCCAGAATTTTCGGGGTGTTTATATTCCAAATTCCCATTTCTCATTTCCCCATTATCCAAAGACGAGTTACAGAAATAGAGATGAGGTGCATGCCTTACACTTACATGACCTGATGAGGAAAAACTGTCCTCTGCACTTGGAGGGGATTTATGCGCATTATTTGAAATTACAAGACCTTGAATTTTGGAGATTGCCAGGTCTGTAGCATCCCCCGTGTGACGAATTTCTGAAACACATACCGAATTTGCAGAACCCTCCGGCTCACAAAAGGTTCTACTAAAATTTGCTTCCCTACCAAACACATCACCATTATTAACTTTGTGCAATGATCCCTCTAAATCAGATCTATAATTCCCAGTCACGGTACTTGAATTTGAAGAATCCGACTCATAAAGGGTTTGATCTTCTTGACATGACTCTGTACCTGAAGCTGGTGATGTTGCACCAAATCCTCTATACATAGACAATGGAGCGGGATCTTGAACATTAGGCCATAGCCCATTTCCATGCCAATCAAGGGTGTTCGAGAAAAACTTAAGAAGTTCATCTCCAATTCTTTCTTCTGGCTGGGAAAGAATCTGCCCTAGGTTCCGAGCCCCATAAGTGAAAGCGCTTCTTATTCGGTAGAAGTTCCCTACAGAGAAAAGGTAATCATTATTGAACTTTTATCCTCTCTGTCAGTTCAAGAATCACTAAAAAAATACGAAAACAAGATAGCCTGAATACCCCTGTTACGAAATGAAAAAAAAACTATTTCTGCTATTCCCAAAGAAAGTTCTAAGTTCAGATGAAAAGAATAATGGCATTTGCCTATGGAAAAATTATTTGACCTTTGCTCACACTGCGACCAAGATTATTGTTTTCTCTTAAAGGATCTACTATGTTTAGATGCTTTTGAGGGAATGTCCGTGAATTAGTCTCAAATCCCCTTGATGGAACTGAGAACATTTCCACACATTCCCTGAGAAAATCATTGCTAAGCAGTAAATCTCCTCCACCATTTTCAGGCGTCTCAACTGCATGAGATACGATAAAAGACATAAGAATCTTAATCATGTATAGGGGCAAGATTTGGCATGAAAGCTAATGTTGTTGCTTACCCACAATATCTGGCAGGGAGGATAAATGGATCGGACCATTCAAACTGACGCAGTATTTTTCCCAATCAAATTTGCTAAAGTAATCCAAAAACTTGTATAAAACCTGTAATATATTCAAATAGTTAAAAGCTAAGAGATCAAATTAGCTGAGGGTGGAAAAATCATGCAGTACTCACCGCCAAAGGGCCATCAAGGGATGAGTGGAATAGATGAAAAATGTAGAGCACCAATGTTTCCAAACCATATGTAGAAATCAAGCCGTGATGAGCCCCAAGAATACGGCTCTCGTAATAGCACCAAGCCTTAATCAGTATAATACTACGTTTAAATAGATGATCTTTTCCAATTAGACGATCAACCTGTAACATTATCAGGGATGTTAATATTACATATTTAAAGGGTTTATTTCTGGTTACCACAATGTAAAAGCCAATTAGCCACCCGCAAACCCAAGCCAGCTCTCCCAATATGTATACATACCAATATAAACATAAATTTATAAAAGATGGAATAACAGAGATCTTAAGTCCATATCTGAAGTATTTCATAGATCAGCAAATATTAGCAAATGAAATCAGGAAAGGGCAAAATGCATTGTCATCTATTTAAAGAGAGAGAGAGAGATTTCACTGTCAATGAATAGGGAAAGTAAACAGAGACCTATTTATTGATTATGCTACATAGAATCTAGATATTAGGGAAATTATAGGTAGTTTCCCTACTTGACATGGTGAACTTTCAAAGATCTTAGAAGAATATATTCATACCTCATGCATCTCAATCAATGCAAAGGATGCATCTTTTTTTCCTAAACGTTAGAAACGCACCAAAAGATCCAAACCCAAGAAACAACATGTCTGCATCAAAACATTTCCAATATCTACTGATAGTTCAATGCAGATCCTTCTTTCTATTTCATAGATGAACTAAGTTGTAAGAAAACAGCTTTCATTCACACCCAAATTTTAACAAACCCAACCTACTTGCTCAAGAAAGCACAAGGTAGATAGCCCCCCTAACTGATTGAATGAGATATCCACCACAATGTTCTGCACTAGACACTTTACAAGCTTAACCTGCCACCACAAAAGCCAAATTTTCATATTGCAAACTACAAATGATTTCTGAATCGTAAATTGTTACAGTAAAAAATCTATAAGAAAACAAATAAATTGACTAAGCAAAGATCTATAAGAACATATCAGTTAAAATTAAAAACCTCAGCTCGAATTAACTGGACATCCTTCACCACAAACTCAGCAGCAGTGTTATGATCTTCTCTTTCAAGGACAGAACACACATCATTAACCATAGCCTCCTCAAGGTTTAGGCCACCAAAGGCTGTTAAATCAATATCCCCATCAGGAAGATAGGTCTTCAAGGGCACTGACCCAAATGGAAATACCTGTAATAAATGCAAGATAAATGATTAATTTCCATACAAGCTGATCACTAATTCAAATGAATGCTTTTATGATCACGGGCACACCAATCAATAGCTATGAAAACCAGAGAAACAAAACGACAAAAATTATGACATGAGACATATGTCACCACTGTATTACTGAAATAAAACATATACTTTAGAGATATTACTGAATAAAAAGTATACGTTACACCGTCGTGACAGACACCTGTCCCGTATCTTTTGTTTCATTTCTTCCGGAATGATCACAAAGCTTTTATTATGGACGTACTACCAGAAATTCAATGTGTAATCTCAGCATTCAATGTGTATCTTGAATAATCTCAATTTTCAATTATTCAACCATTTCATTTACCAAGTTCAATGTTACCCAGATTAGTCAACATTTATATTCCGACACAACAACATTATGTTCTTTGTAACAAGTGTTCTGTTGGTTGGTTAATTTATCATATTTTATCAAGAAATGGATTGTACTGGTATTAGCCTGGATACACAAAATAATTTTATTAGGTCTAATGAGCTTATTCGATCTAATAAGTATCTTGAATCAGACTTTAGAAAATCTGTGTCGGATCTTTAGTATTCTCTCATTATTACCTGTGTTTACTATTTAGGTAGAATACCGTCACTCATTCCAATATGTCACTAATGATATTACTGAAATAAATGTATATATTACACTGTCATTAACAGCCAGGTTAGATTCAGCTGCAAACATTAAATGGCAAATTTCCAAACTGAATTTAACTGTAACAGGTAATTTTTTTTAAGTGCTCTGCAAACTTGAAGTTTAAACACCCATAGATAACCCCACTAAATGAACCACTTTGATCGATCGCAGATGTCAAATACGCAAAGCAGCCAATTTCATACCTAAATGGAAATGGATGAGACATTAACTACACATGGCATTCATAAAGACAGAATATTAACATGACAGAAGCGTCCCTGTGATAGAGTTTTCAATTTCCACTTGGGTTGATTTCTACAACTATTAGTTGTTATCAACAGTTTTCTCTTAGGAATGACAGAGGTTTAACAATTACAAACACCCCACCTTCTAATACTAAGTAAAGATACTAATAAGCTTCAGTTTGTCGGAAAACACATTACCTTAAACTGAATTATAGGTTCTTAAAGGAGGAAAATCAGCATCAGACCACCATCACTCTTAGTTTTAATTCTATCAAAAATAATAATCATGCTTTTTCTTAGGTAACTTCAAACTACACTGTAATTAAGTTTAAGCTATACTCCATTCTAAAAATCTTGTACTAATATATATCGAACACGGTAGTAATTTCCACCTAAATTGCTAATTTTGCAATGTTAACGTTCTACGAGGAAAAAAAAGAAAGTGAAATTTTAGCATAATATTATGCTAATTAAAGCTTAATTAATGTTCAATAACCTGACCTCGCAACCAAGATAGCTTCTAATCAATCTCTGAACGTACAATAACCGCTTTTCTTCTCTCTTCTGAAACAACAGTTGGCTGGACATGGCTATGATCCCCTGCGTCGCTTCCTCCGCCTTTCTCCAATACCCCGCACTAATCTCCTTTTGATTCGACGGTGACGGTGAAGATCTGTCTCGTGACGACACGAAGTTTGGTTCAGGCGAGCAATCTCGGAGATCGCCCATCAAAAACATCAAAAGGAACCGTCCTTTTCCCCTGTACGGAAAAGATACCGCCGCCTCCCGCCTGAACGGAACGGGACGTCCGATCACGCTCTTCCAGTTGCCGCCGCCCCTTCTGATCTAAATACACGGGGGTTTTATATTTTAGTATTAATTATTTTGGCACGATCAGGGTTTCTTTGTGGTGGGGAGAAAGGAATAAAACGACAGCGGAAATGACGACAAACGACGGTGAAACTGTGGATTCTAATTTTTGATGGTTGCAAAAAGGTTGAATCTAAAAGTGTGCGACCATGCCGTATTTCAAACCTTTTTTTTCTTTTTGGAATTTATACATTTGTTATGTAACAAATTTTATATATATATTAACAAATAAAAATTAGTTTTCGTCTTCTGACAAAAATAAATTTATATTTTATAAAAGTAATTGATTGGTCAATCCTAATTCAATATTATAGATATCCCTTATAAAATAATTCTTTCAATTAGGTTTATTTTATTCATAATGTTTAGGTTATTTTAATCTTATTTGAACTTACTAAGTTATTATAATAATAAAAAGGTAATATTACTTTTCGATAATCTTATTTCTTCCGATAATCTTACATTTTGTGAACTAAACACACTTTCATAATTTAACATTTCCTCATATGCAGATAAATATCTCATTTCTTCGTAAATGTTTATTGCCAAGGTTGTAGGGTTTATTCGATAATGAATACACGAGTTGATAATAAATTAATTATATAACTATTTTTAATCTGATTAATATTACATTGTACAACGAAATATTAGATGGTTTAAAATATAGTTAAATAATAAAAATGGGATGAGCTATGTCTCCCTCTACCCCATGTAGTTCTGTTATTTGATCGAATAACTATATTTATAAAAAAAATATTAAACATAAATATTATAAAGTGTAAAGTATATAAATTATCTTTATGTTATAAAGTGTTGTTTTATTGAATTATTTGACTAATTAGAAGTTATAAAATATCTTTTAATAATAAGATGTTGTTTGTTGAGTCCCTTATTATTTATATCTTCTAAACTCATATCTTCAGTTAAAAATAGGCGGTTTTATTAACATATTGATTGAGATTTTAAAATTTAATCCATAATATATGAGTTGTGTTTTTTTGGACTGACTCTCAGTTTATATTATGACGACGAACCAGTGTTGAAATACTATACCATCGAGTCAGTGCTTGAAAATAACAGCAATGCTAATAGACATATTAGAATATAATTTTATTATATTATAGTAAAAAAGGTAGCGTTCAGTTAAAAAATTAGTAATATTTTTAATAAAATATTAGTTTAAAAAGATAAATTTATATATATAATAATTAAATAACTATTTTATAACGTTTAATAATTAGAAACTTAAAATATATCATAATACGACTCAACAAAATCTTCATATACTAAGTGATCATTATATGTTTTTAATAACTAAATATTCGATAAAGTAAGACCTATAAGCGCTAATTTGTGTGCATTACCCTATTATCAATTGATTTGAGCTAAAATTTTGTCCTTTTAGAAGACTATGAGCTTTTATTGCGCATCATTAAATTATTGTTCCACGTAATCGACAGCTGCCCTTTATTCACAATCCAAACCCCCGAAACATGTTTATAAACCCAGCCAAGAACCCTACAACAAAACACCTAAATTGTTGCGGAAGAAATCTATAGGATAGAACAAAAATGCAACTGATAATTTGAGAAAATAAAATTAAAGATAAAAGAGACACAGAATTTACGTGGAAACCCCTAAATTTTATAGGGTAAAAACCACAGGCAACGGTAGAAGAATTTCACTATGAGAAAATAGGAATTACAACCTCTCTCGATCTACCAAGGAAAAACAATGATAATTCTCTCTTGATAAAAAAGAGAAAACAACTCTCAAGAAACTCTCTAAATTCTAGTATTGGAAGAGAGCTAGAATGCTTTGGGATGATTTTGAAGCTAAAGAGCTAGGGTATTTATAGTTGAAACTTAGGACTATTTTGTAAATACCCTAATTACATGACTAGATATGATTTACCATAAAATAAATAATATTTTCCACACCTTTCGGTGCCCCCATTTGACAAAGCAATTGAATGATTTTCCGGTGCCATGTGCACCCATGTGCACCGTTTTTCAACAATCTCCCACTTGAGATTTGATTGGAACAATCATATCTTCACACCATTCTTCTACCTTGTACCTTCATGTTGCTTATATTTCCGTCAGGCCACAAGAGGATCGACACCAAGTAAATTTATCCGGCATGATCGCCTTCGTCATGAAATCTGCTATGTTGTCTTTGGTATGGATCTTTTGCATATCTATCGTCCATTCTTCCACCTTTTCACGAATGAAATGGTATTGAACTCGTATGTGCTTTGTCCTTGAATGAAATGATGGATTCCTTGCTAAATGCAAGGCACTTTGACTGTCACAAAATAGAGAGACATACTCTTGATTGTGCCCAAGCTCCTCCAATAGCATCTTCAACCAAATTGCTTTTTTACTGGCTTGTGTTTGCTACATATTCTGCCTCTGTTGGATGAGCCACAATTGACTGCAATTTTGAAACCTAGCTTGCAACTCCACCAGCAACTTTGAACATATCTTGTAGTATATTTGCTTTTATCCAAATCCCCTGCATAGTCAGAATCTACATACCCATTGATTAGTAAGTTTGATCCTCCGTAATATAATGCAACATTTGAGGTCCCTTTGATATATCTCAAGATCCTCTTCATTGTATTCCAATGCTCTTTGCCTGGATTCGCCATGTACCGACTAACCACTCCTACTGCTTGTGCAATGTCTGGTCTTGTGCATATCATAGAACATTAACTTCCCACTGATGCATACGGTACTCGAGACATCTCCATCCTCTCTTCTTCACTGCTAGGACTCATACTGGAGGATAATTTGAAGATAATAGGAAGAGGGGTAGAAATTGCCTTACAATCTTGCATGTTGAATCGTGACAAGATTTTCTTCAAGTAATTCTTTTGTGAAAGCCAAATCTTCCTATTACTTCTGTCTCGGTAAATTTGCATCCCTAGAATCTTGTTTGCTGATCTCAAGTCCTTCATTTCAAATTCCCTAGCCAGTTGTGTAACACCCCCAACCCGTATCCGACCCGGATACGAGTCCGAAGTGTCACATTGACTTTTCAAACATTTCGTATAAAATAGTGAGTAATTTAAAAACTTGGATAACATTTAACTCATTCAAAACGTTTACAAATATATCAGAGTTCATACAATTTATATCTTTAGACTACATGCCAACTACACTCTATATACCGTACATATATTTTCTGATCTGACAATTGGGTAAGGAAACTGACCTGTCTTGCTCCTCTAGCTCTTTACTCTTCTCACTTCTGTAACCTACGTGTGAAACAACACGCTAAGTCGTTGACTTAGTGAGGCATAAATCATATATAAACTCTAACTCGTAATCATGCTGAACAATTTCTACTAACATATCACGTACAAGCACCATACCCACATATACATGTAATGATCCTACTATGCACCTTTCATATAGATATATATATATATTATCTCTTCCTATCATTATCATATTATCACCTTTCATATTTCTATTCTCTTGTTCATATCATCCATTAACTCATATCATATATCTTATAGCATATACAATAATCACTAACACACATATATCATACAGTACATTCCATGTTATCTCTTTATTAGCCCATGTGCACCTGTGAGAACTGTAGATATGTGAGTCTATTGAGGTTGTGCACCTATGCTGTCACCACAGCTCATATAAATGTCCCGAAGGACCAGTCCATAGATTCCGAAGAACCTAGTAAACAGTCCATATGTCCCGAAGAACATAGGTAAACAGTCCATATGTCCCGAAGACATAGGTAACAGTCCATATGTCCCGAAGACCATAGGTAACCCTCGACCCTTGGCATGCCAACTATACCCCTAGCTCTCATATCACATAACATGGGCATTATCATTTATGACCGTTCACATTACTTATTCATTCTTTCTCTTATAAACACATATCTTTTCTTTTCAGTCACGTATCACATGTACCGTGTAATCCTTGATATCATAATCACATATTCCTTCTCTTCTATCACATATCAAATGTATGTGTAAGCACATATCTAATATCATATGTTGCATTTTCATGTAAGCATGTAAATCATGTAACATATAAACATACATTCATTTCTATGTACTAATGCACACAGAGTAATCACATAACATTATATAATTACCTCTTACCATAGTAACTCTATCATTGACTCATCGCAAGCCATGTTTGATCAATCACATAAGTACAATTTAAATTGCACTCACCTGGCCTCACTAGTCCCTTTCAATCTCTTATCTTCCCTTTTTAATCGATCTTACTTGTCAATGATTCCGGAACTCGTTTAGGCTTTGAATCTACATAATTATACATTTTAAGAATTTTATTAGATACCCACACCTTTTAATTGGATACTAGCAACTTAAACGAACTTATTAAACCAATATTAACATTTCCTTAGGGGAATCGATTCCCTCCTGTTGGGTATCGGTTCCCCTCTGGCTTCTGGAATTCTGTCGTTTGAAGGGGTATCGGTTCCCCTTGAATGGGTACCGATTCCCCTTGCCAGAAAATCATTTTTAGCTCGAAAATCACTTCAATTTCTCTCAAACACTTCATATATCATCCCCTTTTCATTCTTAACTCTAGTACACATACTTAAACCAATCTATATTCATTTATTTCATCTTAAACCTTAGAATCTATTCTCCATATAGAATTCAATAATCATATCAATTTTTCATGTTATTCAACATAATTCTAACACTTCTAACTTCTTAATCTCATAGATGACAAGTCAAATTCAACTTAAAATTCACTTATCAATTCTATTTCAAGATTTGATCAAGACTCAAAATCTTTAATCTCTATATACCTTTCATCTTGTTGTTTTAGAACAATTTAAACTTCCTTAAGCTTAATTATCATCTAATAATCAAAACCCAACCTTGAATTGAACCAATAATCAACTAATGAAAAAACTTACCTTTGCCCTTGCTCTTACGGGAGGGGAAGAGAAGGAATAAGAAGATGAAATGCTTCATCTTCTCATGTTTTATCTCTTAATAAAGGGATAAAATATCTTTCATGACAAATTACCCTTTTGCCCTTTAATTCTTTAGATAATTACTAACAACTTTCAGG